CGGCACATTCTCTCTGTCGCTCTCCCTTCTCTATTTTCTTAGAGGAGGAATAGACATATGGAGCATGAAGTTTTTAGCGGAGTGACAGCGCTCTGACAGATAGTCAAAAGCAGTATTATCAAAGGCTGATGGAAGTCTTGAATGAAGTGGTTAGGATCTATATTGGTTTCGGGAGAAGCGATGGCCTCATATCAGAAAGGAAGGGATCTTAAACGAGGTGTGGGAGATGAATGGAGAGCTGGCCAAATGATGTTCAGATTAAAATGAACTGACGGCAGAGAGGGAAAGGTTATAGATGAGCACATTTCCAAGTTTTTGCTCTCTTTTCGCGAAACCTGTGGCGATATACCGTTGATTGTTTTACTGATTAGAAGACATGTCTGATAATGCAAGCAGAATACAAGAAGAAAAAACATTATTACAAGTCTCAAGTGAGCATAACGCACTTATCAGGTTCAGACAGCGAAAATGTCATTTTATACATAAAAATTGTTCAGGTCTATTTGCAGAGATAGTAATTTAGGAATCAAGCACACGTCACACAAAGTAAAAAAGTGTCCTCGTGTAATGACTGAGCGATCCAGCCTGTAATTTGAGACTATTTGAAAGGTGAAGCACTGCTGTTCTGGGTGACAGGAATAAAATGGAAAGAAAATCGTAATTGTGATCTTGATTCTCGTCAGCTTTATGCCAGAGTCACTGACTTAACCAGACCTGGGTTTGTTCGTAATGACAGCAAGCTTTTAACTCCAAACAAAAAATGAGGAGAAAACGCCACATTGCTCAATTGCTGTCAGCGCTCATCTCAGCTCACTGTCTGTAAGCCACAACCCCAGATCTACTGCCCTGTTTCAAGCAGAATGTGTGAATAATCAAAAAGGTGTTGGTGCTAGTCATAATGACGGCGTGTTACAGAGAGAGGTCAGACAACTTTTAAAAGAATAAATCACCCCAAAATGAATATTCTGCCATAATTTGCTCACATTTATGTTGTCGTTTTGCAAATATTTCATTTTTTTTGTGTTCCACATAAGTAATAAAGTCATACACAATTGGAACGACATGAAGAATGGCAAATGATCACAGAATTGTAATTTCTGGGTGAACTATACATTTAATCTTATAGACAGATTTTTTTTCCCCCACAAATCCCACAGGCTTTTTTTTTCAGATATTTTATGAACCGGTGGTCGGTCGAAGTCTGTACTCGTTCCACCGGTGATTCGAAAGTTAATGGTGCTTTTTTTGAATCCCATTATAATGTTTAGATATATAATGAACATTATAATGTGATAATACAATAATTTATTATATAAAATATTGCCAAAGCATTATACGAAAAAAAAAAAAACATGACAAGAATGACAAGAAAAATAAATATACAATGTAACAATAACAAATAGCAATCTCTCTGATAAAAAAAATACCATTAAAAATAGACCTATGTATCAATTACACCCATGTTTCTTATACAAGAGGTTTTATATTTCTCAAACTGATATTGGTTAAGCTCAGTCCCCAAACAGTGTAGAATCAACTAATTTTAAGCCACTACATCAACATCTTTCACCATGTGATCATTTCACTAGTGTTTGTTAAAGGTTTCTCAGTTATTATGGCCCGTATGTCTTCTCATAATAAACAGACATTTGTAGTCCCATTGCCCAACAAAAGACTCTTATGAACAGGTTCTTTTACGTGAATCAAAAACATTCAGTGCAGCCAGTGTCATCTGACTTCAGAATGAATGAATCTTGTGAACCAGTTCCCCTAAACTGAATCAAAAACATACAATGCAACCTGCCTGCATAAGGAATGACTCTACACAATGTAGCTCACCTCCGTTTGAAATGAATCAAAAATATACAGCACACCCTGTTTGCTTCAGTTTTGCAGATGAATTATTTGAACAAGTCAGTTGTTTTTAGTGAATAAAACTTATACAGCTTGATTTGTGAGATTTGTGAATCATAAAATCATGAATCCTATCCAAACTGCCATTCCATATAGACGAAAAAGTTCGCTGCTACACTCGCATCTGCACCAAATATAGCTTAGAATCACCATTAAATATTTAACTTTCACTCCCAAGTTATTTTAAAAGCAGGCATCATAAAAGAAAAATGATCAATAAAATGGTTGAAAATAATATAGATGTTGTATATATACAGCTGTATTAGCAAATCTACGTCTATAGCAGGACTGCACAGAATAGCATATTATTCTGTATTCTAACACCTCCCCAAACAACCCACTGTCAAAACCAATAAAACATCCAAAATACTGCATGGAATCAGAGGCGATGCATTATGCACCTGCCAAGGAGACCCATATGAGCTGCTTTTCTTCTTTGCTTTCTTCCCGTTGTTCTTTTTCTCTCTGCATTGTTGAAACATATCAGGATGCCCCGTTCTGTTCCTCACTGCATGCAGCACAGCTGAGGTGTGGGGCAGAAGGGGCCGGTGCAAATGTCCTGCTGGGCTGCCAGGCTTCTTTTATTCATCCTACCTTGATGGAGGAATTTGTTATGGAAATATATGGTACGTTAGTGGTAGCAGCAGGGAACCAGGTTTCAAAATAATGAATCGTGCTGGGAAGCCACAGCTCTGGCCCATTTTATCTATGAATTTGTAATTGCATATTCAACACCATCTACAGCACTAGATTCGGCATATTTATGCTGTAGCTTGGGTGTACAGTAGCCCTCTTGTGGATCTTTTGATAGGTTTCTCACAGACAACAGTTATGCGTGGATTCATTTGATGCGGACGCCTCCAATGTTTTGTTTTGTTCAGAGCACCATATAACATTCTCTGATTTTGCACCTTTCCAGCTGCCTCGGTTTCTCTCTAGCAAGTGACCATAAAAAGTCCACTGGCCTTGTGGATCCATCTACATCCTGGGAATTCAGTGTCCTCTCGCGGAGGAGAAAAGCAAAGTGACACAAATTATTTACTGTGTGTAATAATTCATAGTAATGGCACTGGGGACGAGTTATCAGCAAAGTAATTACCGCAAACCACGGAGAGAACCTTGTGCAGAGGGCTCCATGTGTCTCTTCGACTGCCGGTGATGGAGGTCAGTCTGCGTCTGCTGAGAGATATTGATAAGGTACTGCAAACACAGACTGTGACATTCATTTAAGGGTTTTGTCCTCACTTTATAGAGCAGGGGGCGCTATAAAACATGTAAGAGTTAGTTAGAGACACTATTAGTTTAACCAGTTAGAAATGAGCTAGAGGTTCATATGGAATGTGTGTAAAAAGCAAGCAGATAGGAACAGGAATATTATTACTGATAAAGAAATACTAGGTAAACGTCTCACGAATCCATTTAGAATCAAAGATGTTTTCCTTGTTGCCAGGTTGTCTAGTAATACCCACCCCTGCCGTAATCCTCCACAGGTTGCTGGATCTCTTTGAAGACAAACTATGTGGCCCTCGTAAGACACAACAGCACTCTGCACCTCCTAAAGAGAGGTCAGGACTAGAGGAGCACAGCGGCATTTTCCTCTCATCTCTGGAGATCACAATACTTCTTACAGGAGACTCGGGAAGAGTTCAGTGACATATTATCTGTGCAAATCACAGCTGGGAGATGAAAAAGTGGGGTTAGGCATTTTGGGTTAGGGTTGTAGCACAATAACAAAATGATTTTGATTTGAATATTTCCTATAACTAGAGCCCTTGCACAAGGACATTAGTAAAAGGTGTGCAATTATCAATTTAGGGAAATCATTTTGCCATCTGTGATCATGACCCTCAATGGCACAGTAATTTAATTAATCTCAATTCCTCAGTACATGCTATAGTCATTTTAAGGAAGTAATTTTGCAGTGAATGATCATGTGATCCTAGCTGACACATCCTTGCCATTCATTTTAAAAGCTTAGATGGGATTTTAAACTTCTCAGTTTCTCCTGGACTATAATTGGAAAATATATCTCACATATTTACATATATTAACATTTGCTTCTGAATGCCACAGAGAAACAGTACATTAATGACAATTAAAGACATAGAGAGGTGAAATCTAACTATAGTTTACAGCTATTAACATTGAGGAAATGTTATAAAGTTAACATTCCAAGTAACCCTTCGCAGGGAGCTTGATTGACAGGCCATCTGAGCAATCATATCACCGAATCCGCCATTTTGTCCATCAAACAAATCAGACAGGACAGTAGATCAACGTCGTGGACTTAAACTTGAAAAATAGTGTGTATTAACATTTATCTTTCCACGGTTGAAACAAGATACCTTCTGATGTTCATTCATGTTTATTTTGTGCTTTAACCAGTGAATATGAAAAGATGATTGGTTTACGTGCCGCTTGAACTGCGGCGCTAGTGATCAACACATTAAACAGCCACAAAATGGTATTTATTGTTTGAATTTCTTAAAAAAATGAGGAAATTTGAAAGCAGCGACTTTGTTTCATACCAGAAGTAACCTGCTCTGTCTTATCTGTCGGCATCTTGTCAGTTTTCTATTTGCTCCGAGATTTATTTTTCACTGTGTGGCGTGAGAGTAGCATGGCTTGTCGGACATAGCAACAGTGACTAAGGGGGACGGGTCTTTGCGAAGGGTCAATTCCAGAAAAAGTACCAGTGATATGTTGTCACGTAAGTGTACTGCACTACACCCTTCAGAGTGAGTACAGCATAGTTATGCCCCCTTTCAAATGGAACTCACCCAAGATTTCAGTCTCTATATATTTTTTGTAATTGAAAACAAATTAAATTCTAAAGTTTTCAATCACAAAAATGATTTTATCCATTAAGTGCTTTAGAGAAGTTATAAAGTGAATGCTGCGGGCACATGAAATTATAATAATAAAAATCTCTGACATTTTTGATGCAGTATTTTGAATAGTTTACAAGCATGTGCAATTTTGCTGATAATAATTCTGAGAATACAAAGATATTTATGGATTAATATCTGCTGACATTACCTGCTGGATACGGTGCAACCATAAAACACACAGACATCATGCCCAGGGAAACAACTTTATAACTTTATTCATAGTTGATTTATAGCAAAGCAAACATCATCAAAGGATGAAGGCAGAAGTTCATCTGATATACAGTATGGCACCACTTAAAGAAGTAAATCAAGCTTTTGAATACATTTTTAATCATTATCAACCCAAAAAATCATATGCAAGATAACCAAACAACCAAATCAAAACCCAAACAAAAGGACTCATCAAAATAATGTTGTGTGTTTAAAGAAAGAAGTGCATCATCACTCATCATCTGAAGTAGCATTTAATTCATTCAAAGCCACACACTTACTATTTGCCTTTTATTTTAGCCATCACCAGTTTGTGATTATGTACTACTTATTTCATGAAATAAGGCAGATTTTTTTTTTTAGAGATGCAGAGACAATCTGGTAAAAATATTGAGAGCTTGCAACTGAGATCTGTTTATGCATGTGAAAGGGAGGGAGACCGAGAGGGACTGTAAATAAAACATTTGAAACAATGCTGGCATGCATCTAGATACACTTGAGGGAATTCATTTGTTAGCGCACTCATCAAAAACGGCCACGTCAGTCTTACACAACAGGTTTTCCTTTTTTTATACAGGCATTCGCAGTAGTCAGAGCAGCTTTGAAGATGAAACATGATCAGCGCTCGTTTGATAGATTAAAGGGGGGCTCTGCGAGCGTGACGTGTCGTTTCAAAGCAGAGGAGCGCACAAACGCCTCTGTTATATAGCGTGCAGTAGGGAGGAATGCCACCACTCCATAGAGGAGATTAGAATCAAGCGATGTTCTCCTCGTTTGACCTGACTTGGTTCTATAGCTCACACACAAAGCGAAAACCTCTTTAAAGTGACATCATTGGTATATACGCACACTCACTCACGCACAAACAGACATTTATAGCCATTTTAGTGTTTTTCACCTGAAAGAAATCTTAATCGGTGGACAGGCCTGTGGAATCCAGTCATATTTGGTCTGAATCTTGTATTACGAGTGCTCTGCGGCATGGAAAATTTAGCCTTGGCTTTGCACTTTGTCAGAAGTATTACAAATCAGCGCGTAACTAAAAGCGGCAGGATGATTTTAGGATGTGTTTTGAGCAATCTACCTAATTTAAACCAGTTCAAATCCAGCACCAAGATGCTATATTGAAAAAAAAAGCAAAAAACTATTGATCAAGCAGCATGTCAGTGAGGTATAGCAGTCCTCCTCCAGCTCCACAATCCCTGCACTCTCTCTGATATGTTCAAACTCTCATTTGATCCTTTTTATATAGCTATATATCTGATTTATTATCAATATGAGGAAGCGGAAAGGAAATACAGGTTTAATAGAAGGAAAAATGGTGAATGAAGTGGGGGGGTGGGGGGTCAACTCTTTTCCCAGTATTTGTGGGCGACTCTCTAGCGTGGGACAAAATTGGTGTGATATTTGCCTTCACACAGTTTGCCGTTACTCGTTCCTATGAGGCTGATTGTCGTCTCATTCCTGTGCGTTCTTATCGCCTTGGCCATCTTGAAGAAAACAAACATGACAGCAGAATTAAGTATACATGTTAGAAAACAAGCAGTTAAACCTAATGCACAAGGCTGACAGATTGGTGTCAACATGAAAGCAACATTGAGCATATTTACTTTTTCTTTGACAAACTTTTTTTATTTTCCAGTATCAATTAGAAGTGGAGCTACAACTAAAAGTAATAGAATATTTGTTTATTGTTTCATTAAATAATCAGATAATTAATCAGTAAAAAATTTTTTTTTTCCATTTTATTCTGTATTTCATTAATATACATTGTGCCAAAAAGTATATTTATAAACAAATATAAAATAATAAATAATTAGTATATAATATTCGATATACAATGATTTTTATATTTATAACTTATTTTATATTTTATAACTTTTATATTTAATATATTTTACAAATAAAGTATATATATATATATATATATATATATACACACACACATACACAAACACACACAACTTACGAATGTATACTGAATATTCAATATAATCAAGTATTCAGTATAATTTAACAGCAACTTTATATCTAATTTAACAATAACTTGCTGTTCAGTCAGTCTGTTTTGACTTGAATTGAATTTCATGTTGACTTTAATATAATAATATCATATATTATATATTTGAATATAGAACCAACTTTCTTTTAGTTAAATAAACGTCCAACTAAATTCTACCTGTATACCTGTTTGTACAGATACACACATAAAGATACTGTACTAAATTATGTCCTGTCAAACGCGAAGGGAATTAATATAAATGGCATGCTGGGAGTTTGTATGTGCGGCCCTAAGAGGGAAGCTGACCCCGGGGTTCCCGAAATGACAGCACAGCAAAACTCTTATCACACATGATTTATCAGCTTTCTCGCACTGCGTCATCTCTGCGCTCCGATCACACACGCTTTGTGTTTGATTTATTAATGTCCGTGAGGTGGGCATGCAGGTAATTCATCAAACTCAATTTAAGGAGGCATGCCAACACGTTTACTCTGAAAAATCAGGGTCACTCCGCAGTTCCAGATCAGCAGAGAGAAAGTGAATGAGAGAGAAAGGAAGTGAAGGAATTGCGGGTAAAGCATACGAGGCAGAAAAAGTTGGGAGCTTTTAGCTGAATGAGAAGGACAATGACAGAGACGGGGACATTTACTGAAGATGAGAACTGCATAGAACTGGAGAAGTCGTGGCCTAATGGTTAGAGAGTTGGACTCGTAACCCAAAGGTTGCGGGTCCGTGTGCACTTTGGATGGGATAAATGCAGAGCACTAATTCCAAGTATGGGTCACCATACTTGGCCAAATGTCACGTCACTTTTTTTTTTAAAGTGTGTTTCTCGGTTTTATTCACAGCTCTTATTGATTTATTGCTTTTACCTTCAGAATTTGGTCTGGTGTCTGGTGGAGTTGCGTCGGGCTCTTGTGAGCTCTTATCTTGGGCTTTCACATCATCTAGATACATATTAAGGAGAGAGATGGGAATGAATGACTCAATATCACAGCTGAGCAGAGGAATTCAAAGTTAGATGCCACTGGGTGACATCTCATTGGCTACTGAGCTTCTCCTAGCTGAAATAAATGCAGCGGATGCTAAAGGCTATGCCTGAGGCAACAGAGGCTTCAAGAGAAGAACATGAGACTGCAGAGATCAGGATGACGAGATACACCTGTGCATGCATCTGAAAATACATCCAAGCTCGCTCTTCTTTCTTCTGTATAAATAATAAAGCATGCATTTGAGTTTACTTGAGTAAATGCAACATTTACGATCCTGTTCCCCTCTTTTTTCCTGTCAGTTCTTGCGTCTCTCAACTGTCATAAATAGAAAAAAGTGGCAAAAAGGTCTGTAACCTGAAAATTCAAATTTAAAAATGCATCCAGACATGCACTTCTTTCTTCTGTATAAATAATAAAAAATGCATTTGAATTGGAGTCGTGACCTAGTGCTTCACGCACATGCTCAGAAATGACTGGGTGACGTGAGTTCCAGTCTGATCCTGTTGCTGGATTTTGTTCTCTCTCAACTTTCATATAAATAACTAAAGCTCATTTACATCTGGAAATGCACATACACTCTGCTTTCTTCTGAGTAAAATAATAAGCAATGAATTTGAATTTAAACCATGAAATGATCAAAAGGCCAAAAAATAGTTTTAATTCACACATCTTTGTTTTTACCTTTAGTGCTGTTGCTGGTGTTGCTCTCCTTGGCTGTTGTAACACTTTGATCAGCATCTAAATAAACAAAAGTCATAAAATAATGTGGTAAGTTCTATGTGCCTTTTTTCTTTTGATTTTATTACAATTATATTGGCTCCACATGCTGGATTCCTCATTATCATCTTCAGGAAGAACAGCAACTACATTCTTTAATCTCCAAAACATGATTTATTTATGTATTTATTTATTGGTTGGTTGGATATGAAACATCCTTTTAAAGTTCATATTTCAAATCACAAATTTGCATAGGTATGAAAAAAATAAAGGTAATTGCAACTTATTTTTTCTCACAATTGTGAATTTATTTTTGTCTCAGAATTACAATTTTATACATCATACATTTTATAAATCATAAATTCTGCATTTCTTCCTTAGAGTGTACATCTCGTAATTCTGTTTTTATTTTTATAAAAAAAAATTAAAAAGGTAATTCTGTCATGAATTTTCCATAATTCTGACTTTTCTGAATTCTCTAGCAATTGCAAATTTATATCTCACAATGCAGACTTTTCTTCTCAGAACTGCAAGTCTATTTCTCACAATGTTGAGCATGTATTTCACAATTCAGACTTAATTCTCAGAATTGCAAGAAAGAAAGTCTGAATTGTGAGATAAAAAGATGCCATAACATTTTTTATTAACCCCCCCCCCCCAAAT